GAAATAGTACATACCAACTACATGATGATGAACAGAATATCAGTTTGAAGGACAGCAGTCTCTCTGGAAGCAGGGAAAGACAGGGAATTAGATAGATTACGAGAGAGAGAAGCAGATTTAAAGAAATGCTAGCACTCTGATGCAGTTTTTATGGAAAGGTCAGGGATCTGGGGATCCTGTGTGATTGTAGCTGTAGTGGGTCTGTATGTCTAAATGAATAAAGACCTTGCCTCTAACAGGTAAGCATGGCCCACTTTTGTGTTGCATTTCACCACCGAGTCATTCTGCAGTGTTTGTGTGTTTTAGGGGTGTTGGAGAGCAGCAGGTTGCATAATCAGTGGCTAGACTTCAGATTGTTGATGATGTGTAACTCATAGCCCTTAAGCTTCACTGGCTGTACATGTGAAATACAAAATTAAGGTTGTACAATCTGTTATAAAAACACTAACTCTTTCCTGGATTGTGCAATTACGTTACATCACTGAGAAAAAGTTCCTTCTTTCTTATCAAAGTTCTATATTTTGCATCAGCGGGCTGGTGTAAACACAGGGGAACCAGGTTCAACCTCGTCAACATACTTAAGTGTCCTTGAGAAAAAGACTGAATCTCTACCAGCTGTTCTACAGCTGACCCTGATCTCTAAAAGCTGCTCTGCTCAGCCAATCAGGGTTTAGTGTTGTGAGGCCTTAGTCTTCACATTCATGCAATTGAACTAATTCAGCTTGCTTTTTAACAAAAGTGCAAACATTTTAGACATGTAGTAATAAGCGTTATTCTAAAAATGAGTTTTTTGTAAAACATGCAGCATGTGTACTACAGAAAATACTAAATACACATTCAAGACTGTGAAATTATTTTTGAAGTAATTTCTACCTAATACAAGCAAGCTGGTGATGTGTGGAAAGTTGAACGTCAAAAAAATCAAAATAATACTTACTGGCAGTTTGGGGTTTCTTAACCTGCAAAAATTGGTGTTAAACCGTCAAGTTACATACAGGAAGCTTGGAAAATATGACACAACCAGTGTCTTTAGTTGGTGGGGTAGATTCTGTAGGAGAACGCTTAAAGGCCATAAATGAGTATGTGAGATGACATGAAAGTACAAACGAGCGGTGGATTTTATGGATGAGTGGGTGTGTTCAACTCTCAAAACCAAAGCAGCAAATCTGGAGGTGTGTAATATCTCAGGAAACGCACACATTATTCTCTCCCTCTCTTTCTCTATATCACGCATTTAATTACTGTTTTTTGGCGTTATTCTATGACTGTTTAAACACACACAAGTGGGCCATGAGTGAGGTTGGGCCTAACAGATATTTTTAAGTCGTGTAAAAAATGTAGTGTCAGAGAAGCTAACAAAAGAAACCACATGTACTTAATCAAATTATCTGCTTTGGTTGTATTTCACTGTTGTGAAACATGAGCTATGTAAATTTAAGGTTGGTGGTTGATGGTGTAAATTGTTTTTCAGATGCATTTTTACCCCCAGTTAAAAAAAAGAAGGCAAACACATGACATGTTTTTGACATTAAAATGGTCAGATTAAACAATTTAGCAAAAACATACTTAACATGTTTGTTGCAGTGAGGCAACAATGTCTTATGCCTTAATATCAACTTTCGTGAACTAAAAAGAGCCACTTTACCTTACATTGACCACCCACAGGTAGGAAAACTTTGATTTCAAGCAGTACAGTGGCTGAAGAAAAAGCATTATAGTGAGCAGAATTTGATTAATTATTAAATTGGTGGCATCCAGAACACCTCACAGCACCAGGAGTGTGTAAGTGGATGTGTTAGTGCCTGTAGGGAAACACCACGTTCAATTAATCTGCATAATTTTGTTACAATTAAACGATTATTAACCAGCCTGCAGAGATCAGGCTGCTCTTTCTTCCCACACAGATAACAACAGGATGGGATGTGTGTTTCAGATAGATTACAGTGTGATGTTGATTCAACTTAGCGGTTCCTGGGTCACAGAGATCAAGGGGTAAGACACAGGTCAGTGAGGACAGGTAATGACTGCCTTGGTAGCCAGTTCAGTTTTAGTCATGTGTTTTTTTTATTCATGAAGAAAAGCTGCAGTACAGTGCTCTGCTTTTTATCTTGTTTGAGTAAAGAAAATGCCCCCAAAACACTCTAGGATGTTCTTCATTCGTAACATGGGCATTTCTGCTCCAGGAGTGAATTTCAAGCCACTTTTTTAAAACTTTTACAATACTAGTAAATTATGAGCTAAATCACAGTGCTGGCTGTAAGAAGAATTTGTCTCTGAAAAATTGTAATACAGATAGTGACTGTAGCATTGTTAATAATGACAATAGTATTAGTTCTACAATGAATACTTATTGTATAAAATACTTTATTGTTATTATATACATATCTGTAACCACCAAACTGCAGCAGACTAGTAAGAAGTATTTTAGAGGAAAATCTACTGGTCATAGCAGCAATATTAGAGATACAGAAGACAAAAATATGACTAAATGCTAAAATTAAGCTTAAAATGATTACCTCTGCTCAATTCATAAAAGCTTCTGTGCTTGCTGTTCTGAACACTGACTCTCTTGTAACATTTTTATGCCTCACAAGAAGTGATGCATTTTCTGTTCAGTATTCTCTCTTCATGTGTATGTAACACATAATTCAAGAAATAAACAACAAACTATTGCATCCAAATGACACACACACACGCCAGTCTCAGAGGAGGGGTCATGTGACTGAGACTGACCTGGAATACCCAGCTCTGACGGTGGGCGCTATGGAAACGCTGTTTCCACACAGGGGAGATAACTGCCCACCTGAAGCGCACACACACACAGATACACAGATGCAGGTAATTCAGTCAGTCGTCATATTTCACTGCTGTTTGGTTAAAACTAATCTGCTGATATTTTGTTTTTTTTCACTCCATAACTGAAAGTAGTATTTTATATTTAAATGGAGAGTAACCTTGAGCTCTCAATGCTTATTTGAAGGTGAATTTCACAGAAAAGTATAATTGTTTGCTTACTAACTAAATTTCCTGGGTTTTAGCAGATACTGAGAGAACCATACTACCAAGATGTAGAAAAATGTTGAGATTAAGAAGATCTTTAAATGGGCTTCAGTGAACGCATTTTAACTAATCCACCCTGTCATAACTGACGGGTCACAGGTTCAAAACAGATTCTGACTTTGATTGTTTTAGGTTACATTATTATGACTAGCTGTGGAATACCTAATTAAACAGCATCTGACTTTTTCATTCTCGATACAGATACCAATACCTTGGCTTTGGGAATCTGCCAGTGTCAAGTATTGATCCGATATCAGTGTAAAATTAATAAGCTTTATTCCTTTAATGTGAGGAAGAGACTGGGAATAATTCTTTTATGTTGCAGAGATTGAGTCACTCCCATTTTGTACTTTACAGGCAGGGCTGCATATTGTTTACTGAATGAAACTGCACTGGTAGCAACACAGTGAGGCAAAGTACTCATCTTGGGTTTCATTAGCAAATGGCCGAGTTTAGATAACTTTGTCTGTACGTCATCCCTGTTTCTGTCGTCTATCATTTCAGGAGGAAATGAATGAGTGTTGGTTGTGTAGCTCAGTGTGAACTGAAAGTTTCTGCTGTCTGAAGGATTCTCAGAATAATGGCGTGGAACTGTAAACTGCCTTATTTGTTGTGCATTGTGGATCTTTTGCATTTTCACATCATATCTACTGTGAAATTTCCACATGTAGACTACATGTATGTTACATGAAGTAACAACATACAGAAACTGGTCATACTATTGTACTGGTCATACACATATATGGAGCAGATTGTGCAATAGAAAATAGAAACTGTGCAGCACTAACCATAATACCACAATATTTCAGCAGCAGTTTTAGAGATAGGTCTAGGTCTTGTGTGTAGTGACATCTGTTTGTTTTGTCTATCTGTTGTAACTTTAAGTTTCTTTTTAAAGTTAGGAATCTCAAAACTGAAGTATTTTGTTTTTTTTTTTACTTTTGACATCAAATCCATATTGAGTCAAATGAGCCAGGATCTTGATGTATTTTTGACATACCCTATTGAATATGTGCTGTAGTATAAATATATGAACGATATGTAAATATTGTTCTTTTAAACCCTCTGTCCTTGAGCTTGACACGTTACTTATGCTGCATTCACATGCTTCTCGGATGGTCCCATTTCCAGAATTGGGAAGATGTTCTCTGGAGGTGTATGCATGAGCTTTAAGTCGTAATGTGGAAACAACATGGACATTTTTGTATAGCGTCTGGTTTGTCATGTATGTATGTGATGTTGCTATCCAAGAATGCTGAAACAGTTTAAAGATTAGTGATTTTGTTTGAACATATTGTTTGACCTGACTTGTTATCATGGTCAATGCTAATAAATAATTAATCTTGGTCACTCTACATTTACAGTTACAACCTAATGTCATATTACAAATTACACGTGAGCAAAATATGCATAGTCTATGCTATATGTGAATTAATAAACTGCCGTGTTTCTGCTTGAGGTCGACTCAGCAAGTCATGTGTCCAAGTTGTTGTTCCAACTTGAGGGGGCATTGAAGTGAATTTTCCTGTAAGGAACCCATTTTTCCGATTATTCCTACACCACATGAATTCAGGGTACTAGCCCCTAGCTTTGGCTGACCTCTCACTCATCTAGTGAAATGTCATTTGGCATGTGTCTCGAGGAGAAGGCAGTAATGTAACATTATTGCTAAGAGAAGTCGGTTGTTAGACAATTGCTAGTTTGAATCCCACTGATAGAATTAGAGCCAGAGAGAGACATCTTAGTGACAGCTGCTGAGCATGACCATTTCTTTTGCAAGTAGCATCTCTGATCACGGTATTAAAAGCCAAAATGTTGCTCCATAAATGTCTCACAAAGTAAATGAACACACAGTGGGACGGGATTGTCTATGATTTTATCAAGCAGTTTTAGGCGCATGAAAGTAAAAATAATGTCAACAACTTTTCTGGTGTTTTTAGGTTCCAACCAAAAAGCTGAAGAAGTTTGAGAAGGAATATCAGACACTGAGAGAGAGCCAGCTGCAACAAGAAGACCCCATCGACCGATACCAGGTAGGATGTGCGCACACACACACACACACACACACACACACACCCACCCACACACACACACACACACACACACACATCTTAAGAGGTAAGAAAAGTAAGATATCTTATATTTATTACTCGTGGTACATTACATTGTTTTATTCACCCTGTCAGCTGGGGAGGTTAAATGCACCCATCCTTTGTTACAAAAGCACACAGTGCGTTCATGTGAAAGCCGCCTTGTTTCCTGTAGGTTCTCGAATATTTTTCAGTCTAGGAGATGGTAAGAAAACACTTGGCTCTTTGATATATTTTAAAGTCTGTGAAGAAAGAGGAGTTCTTTCGTTGCAGTGAGGACCTCAAATTCAATACAAGCACAGGTATTTGCTAAAATTAACTATGTTTCTAAGATTAGAAATCTGTGAATGCAGTACTGTTTTGTGTACCTTTGTTAATATTTGTGACACTGTTCTGGCTTGAAATGTGACTTTTCACACAGCACAGACTTTTATCATTACATTATTCATCTAAACATTTATTTTTGGGTGAAGCAGCCGTGGAGGTTGTTGGAGGTTTTTGATTGCTGAAAGTGAATTTATCTTCAGAAGGTAAAAACAGGCGGGGTGATACGATAAACTCAAACTGTCAGCATCTCTTCCTCTTATTTGATCAGTTGTATCAAAATTTCTTTGTTTAAATCTGTTGTTCTTGTGGTTACAAAATCAGCTCAGTGTACATTTTATGCACCTAATTTGTCTTTGAAATTGGGAGAATAGAGTTGACATAATTAGAGCTGTTTAGATTACATTTTTATACTGACTTTTTATAGAACGTAAAGGAATAGTTGAAATGAAAAATTGTGAAATAAAACAACAAATCAGAGCTCTCTAAATGTTTGTTTTCTAGCAAGAAAATGGCAACATATACAGTTGCTTTAGCAGGTAGGAAATCGACTGAAAGTGCTCATACTACTATGAGAAAGTACTGTACTCTTACTGTATGATTCTCAGCTGATGCTGATAGGTGACGCCTGATTGTAGTAGTTGTGGAAAGCAGAGAAGTTCACTGCCAAGCGTTCATTGCAGATTTTATTTGCAACTACTTGTTAGAAACAATTACTCTATTTGATCCTCACCTTTATAAGGTACTGGATTGGTGTAAACATTTCAAACTTTCAAACTCGGTTTTCTGTTTGCAACCACATTCAAGCCAAATTCCAGATGTTTACATGGCTGGCTCTGCAAGACAAATGTAATTTGAATTGAATAAACTCAAAAATGCTTGACGGTTGAGCTAGAACCAAGACAGAGTTTCTCAGTTTGTGAAAATTCTCAAAATATTTCATAGCTATTGGATTGTTTCCTTGGATGAGTCAATATGTTTAGGTGCAAACAAGAAACCTGCCTTCTGTTAGCAAAACATGTCAGTCAATAAAACTGATTTTACATAAGTAGTAATTCTGAGGGAATAAAATAATATATTTATTGATACTAAAATAAAAACATTTTTAATTATGAAACACAACAAACTACCATGAAAACCCACCAGGATTACGTTGTTTTTTTCCCCAAGGCAGCTCTATATAAGCTGCTGGTTCTGGAGGGAAGCAAGGAAGGAAGACTTTTATTGTAGATAAGATATTGGACCAGAGCCATCTGGTCTAGCCAGTGGAAAGCCTTTCTTACAGAGCAAGAAGACGACAGAAGACAAAGAAGGAATGCTGCCACTTGTAAATTAGCACAGGGTTAAATCATACACATTTCTATTGATGGAATGACTTTCGGGATGTTAGTTACTTTATGCATACTGTAATTCAACAACTCAACATTTTCATACGGTTCATACTCCAGGGTTTAGGTATGTACTCATTGTGGTGTATTCTTTGGGCTGTGTGTATTTGTGCCTGTCTCGTTTGTGTGTAAAATCTGTGTGACTTTTTTGGCCAGTTGTACTTTTTCTTGGCTGTTTATCTTAATTTTTTTTAAATATAAAAGCATCGACAAAAGTAAAGAAAGGAGAGTGAGAGGGGGAGAGAGTGAGGCTGGGAAGTGTCAAACAGAAAAGGGAAACTCCTATCAGGATCATGTGTTTAAGTTTAGTCCATGCTGCTGGAGGTTCGAAATGAAGATGCTGTTTTGACTGTGGACTGCAGCACGGTAAGCTGCCTCTGCTCCAACAATGATTGTAAAATGAGAGATTTTGCACAGGTTTTTATGCGTTTTTACTAATTAAATAATAATTCAACTTTGATGTGTGGGTTTAATATTTTATCTGATATGAGTTGCCCATGTTGACTGATGTCCTTTTGCAGAGATATTAAAAAACAATGCAAGATTTTAGGATAAAGACTCAGATGTTTAGTAAATCTAAAACATCAAGTATGTATGACTGCTGCAGAGAAACACACTAGTTAATATGTTGTATGTCTTTCCTCTGTTTGCCCAAATTAAACACATCACTTCTCTGCTCACAGGATGTGATTCATTTAATCTCAGGAGCGGCATACAGTGTCTCCAAAGCATGTGACTTTAGTGTGCGTCTGTGTGATTTTCAGGTCCATCCATTGTGATCAGCTTTTTATATTTGCGTCATTATATAAGACGTGCTCTACAAATTACTAACAATACAGATTATTTACACTATGTGTACATACATATGTCTGTGCGTGTGAAGTTAATTAGGGGTAGAAGAGGTCATTGTTGTGACAGGATATCGGGGTCAGGTGGCCGCTCATAACCAAGCATGGTGGTCATGTGAGACTGTTAACAGGCAGAGACCAGTAGTCATGAGACTCCACTCATGGTCTACACTGGGGACTTTAAGATAATGGTGTGTATGTGTGTGGGGGCAGGGGGAGGCTTGATTATGGTTTTAGGGCTTCAACAATGAAGTTACATTTTTCTCTGTTTGAAAAATCTCTTTTGAACGTATGATATAGTTCTTACAAAGTGCATTAAATAAAGTACATTAAATTAATGTTTAAGTGAACAGTGAGGCTTGTCTTACTTCTGTTATCAGAGTTATCACTTTGTAGGCTCTATTGTTTGTTTACATTACAGCATTCATACAAAAACAACACATTCTGTAGTGAAATATAACTAATAAATCTGTTTACAGACATTGCTGGCATTGTTGTTATATAAAAAGATTTTATTTGAATGCAGGGCAATTGCACAGAATCACTTGTTGTTCATAGCATTTCTCCTTATTTCATCTGATTTCAGTTAACAATTACTGATACGTGGCAGCGCCTATCTACTTGTGCAATACCCTGTTAAATGTACAGAATAGAGTGTATTCATGTGTGTGATTCTGAAGTCCGTATGCTGTTACTGCGTGTTTCTGCAGCCTTGCGTGGCAGTATTGCCCAAGACAAATTTCCCTCAGGGCACAGTAAAGTTTATCTTGAGCTTGATCTTAAGCTCTAAAGTGCATCAAGCATATGATCCTTTTACATGTTTTTTTTTACGTGCACTAATACATTGTCCAACCATGTGTGTGTTTGCCCAGAGGGAGAACCGTCGTCTTCAGGAGGCCAGTATGCGACTAGAACAGGAGAACGACGACTTGGCCCATGAACTGGTCACCAGTAAGATTGCCCTCCGGAACGACCTTGACCAGGTAACACAGCACCTCCACCAGACGATTTCAGACCCACAATAAATTCATGCATTTATGCTCACTTTGTGTCAAATTCAAGCCGATGTAGTAGTTTGCCGTTTTTTTATTTATTTATTTGCTTAGTTGTGTTTGCATGTAGTATTTATTCCCAACTGCCAACATTGGTTGTTTTATACATAGAGCAAAATAAGAAGCATAATATGATCCAAATGAACACGCTTTTGAAAATGCACTTCATGTAGCAACTTCTTTGGGACATTTCAGACATTCAGCTGATTAAAAACCCTCACACTGACAGCATCATATACAGACAAATGTAGCTATAAGCAGAAAAAAACATTTCCTAGCCTTTCCTGATATTAAACTGCTATTGTTGAGGTGCTCATGAGCATTTCACCAAATAATTACTGTTAAAGGAATGCATCTGTACTGGAAAGTTCTCAGTGTGAATCTCTGGAACTGAATTTGAGTAAATATCAAAGACTATAAAAGTGCTGATGTGAAGACGGCATTAAATCCCAAATCTGTGATGAACCTCTGTTGCTTCTACGTGGTCTGCATTTGAATCTGTTTTTGCACTTTTGGTGTTTGTGTGAAAATGGCACTTTGCTACAATTGCAGATTTTCTATTAAGGGTATCTATGTGTTTGTGTGTGTGTATGCACATTCAGGCAGAAGACAAGGCCGATGTTTTGAACAAAGAGCTGCTGAGCACCAAGCAACGTCTGGTGGAGACGGAGGAGGAGAAGAGACGACAGGAGGAGGAGACAGCTCAGGTAACATCTGCCCTCTCTTTATCCTCACCTCATTAACATGGTTAAGCTCAGTCTCAGTGAACTACAGGCCTGATTGGTCAATTGGCTCAATCATCTTTGCAGTCAAAGCTTTTGTTTATGTTACTGTAGTTTGTTGTAAAAACAGAAATTTGACTCAATGTTTTTGAGGCAACACAGCATGTGTCTCCTCCAAAGTGGGCTTAATGGCTTCATTAAGTTTGGTTATAATTACTTAAAACTCCATTGAATGGGGCACAATTAGTAATTAATGACTTACATTAGTTTCAGTCAGTGACCAGACAAAATGTGTCAGCAGGTGCCTTATAATGGCTATGAATCACCAAGTCACAACAGAGTAATTGTGTTACATAATTAGAGCAGAGGGCCAATAGAGTTGATACTCAGTGTATCAGTGTTGTTTGTAATCAGTGTTCATCAACAGCTTAATAAAACATTCAATGGAAATTCATGGCCTCTATTATTTAACATTTAGAGCATATTTAAAACTCACATTTCACTCAAACACAACCTTTTACTGTGTACATGTACTGTATCAGTTTGAGGTCTAGTGTGGTCAAAATCTAGGATTGAGAGTGGTGGTTACTATTGATCACCAAAGTTACCGATATTGGTAAAGATATTGTTCATGAGCCCTTAAAATGAGACTGATGCAGTCTATATTGAACCACAGTTGCATAATGATTTAATAAGTCAGTACTGTAATTAATTCTTACAAAGGCTTTTTTATCATCCTGATATCTGCATATGTATAAACATTATGTTATGTTGTTATGACCTCATCCTTCTAATTAATGTGCGATTTTATGTTTTCGTCATCATGTTTTGTCCCTTTCAGCTGAAGGAAGTGTTCAGGAGGGAGCTAGAAAAGGCTGAGCTGGAGATAAAGAAAACAACGGCCATCATAGCTGAATACAAACAGGTTGGACACTTTAATAACCTAAATCCATCTGCTGTATTTAAAATGGCATTAACACTCATTTGCTCATTTACAGTCAGTACATTGGACTAAATTTGACAAAATCATCAACGGCAAAGTACTAGGGCTGAGCCCCAATAGTCGAAGATTTGGTGCTTCAATGGGCGGAGCCTGATTCGACTCTCAATCTCACAGTCGAAGCTTCGCAGCGAAACAAGGATTATGCCATTTGGCGATATCATGGTGCTCAATGCCTGATTTTACATAGAACTGCCAGTTTTCTCCCAATAAGTTCATATACAGCCTGTAACAATATACATTTCAACATTTAATGCTGTAAATAAACATGTAAAAAGAATAAAACTTTCAAGAAATGTTTTTAAAAGTGCGTAAATAAATCCAAAATTGTAACCCTAACCCTGGGTCAGTGCGCATGTGTAGGCGTAGCGTGTGTGTGGTGGCGGAAGAGGAACACTTGTTGAAGAGACTGAGCCCTGGCTTCATTGGTGTTATGCCAAGTTGTCCGCACCTCACGGGACTTTCCGATAATTTATCACCGCTGATGAACCACTCAGAATATTTTATCATTTTTAAATAGCCGGCTACTTGAAATAGACCCTCAAGGAACCGCGACGTACATGTAGTTGGTGGCAGCACGGCATGCACGCAAAACTCACCCAAGACTGGTGATTGACAGACGAGAAAAGAGTCTTCAAAAAGCCTCAGTTTAGCTGGAAATTTACAGTCTAAGTTGAATGAAGAGAAACTGAGAATGAATAGAGACCCCTCCCCCCCCCTGCAATCGCCCCGCACAAAAACACACATGATGATTCGACTATAGGCAGGACTTGACAATCCTGATTCGACTATGTAAATCAACATAGTCGGGGACAGCCCTAATCTGTACATTTACGTTTCGTGTATTATTCACACCTGATTTATTTTGTGAGCTCTTTACAATTGTTTCTGTAAGTGTTCTGCAAATAAAGGCCATATTATTAGTAGTAACAGAAATAACCAAAACATGTATTCATCTTTAAATTGTTTTTGTATAATTTATGCAACCTCCTTCACTGCTACAATAAAATAACTCTTTACAGAAAGTAACGGGGTAATGAATACTGAGCTACATACCAGGTAAAGCCCAAAGAATCAGAATCAGCTTTATTGCCAGGTATGTGTACACATACGAGGAATTTAACTCTGGATTGTACATTGCTCACGATGTGCTTACTCATACAAAAATACAAAATCACAATAATAAAAACAAGATAAAATCAGACACAGACTTCAGTGTAGACAACACAAATACACACTATGAACAAAAACAATATAGACATATTGACAAATAGTGCAGTGAGCAGAGTGCAAAGGATGCAGGAGTATGTACATGTTGGAGGTGGATGTGATATACAGGTGCATACATGTACACCGTGCAATGAAGCATAGTGCAAATGATGCTGGAATAAATAAGTATTTGTGCAGGAGTAATGACTTGATAGGTAGGTGGATTTGGTAGATTTCTTTCCTTAAATATATGGATCTATGTAAGTGTGAAAAGACCTTTGATATTTGAAAATATCATACAGCTCAGTTGAGTTTTGCCTCCTGGAGAAACACAAGTTAAGAATTATTCAGTGTATTTCTTACGTTGTAATTCAAATGTGACATCTCTTATATAACCTGTCTTCCTCTCTGTGTTTCAGATCTGCTCCCAACTGAGCACCCGGCTGGAAAAACAGCAGGCAGCGACAAAAGAAGAGCTGGACATCGTCAGGGTGAGATTACATTGTTAATGCACAGCTACTGTAGAAGGTTGCAGATGCAAGTTAGGAGCGTTTTAAATTCCTAAGGCGACAATATATTGCATCACAGAACAAAGGAATTTGCAGGACTGTACTGTCTTTCAGTTCAGTTAAGACAATCCCAGGTTGGTACATTATCACACCCATAATAGCCCTGATTGCACAAATCATCCCACGCTGCTCTTTTAGCCCTTGTCAAACATGTGATGTTGCTCTTTGTGGGTGCGGCAGGGAGGGATTAATTAAAAGTATTCAGGATAGTAAAACTGTATATGTCTGTGTTATTGTAACACTTCCACTGATGTCACTCTGATGGTTGGTTTACAACAGGACCCTGTTATGGTACAGCAGTAACGAGCTGTTATTTGTATTGCTATAAAAAACAAGAAAGAGAGATGGAAGCTGAGAGGACAAGAAAAGAAACCTAATTCAGAGAGAAACATCATTGTACTATGTTAGCTATGGCTGAACTTTGCATTACTTTTTTGCACTTAACAAATATTGTTGGGTTGTAGATGGCAGGGTGGAGCTGTGCATTTAGTATGATGAAATAGATCAACTGTGAAAATGAAACTTCCCCTTGAGCAATGAGTACTTGACAGGAATAATCTGTTTAAAAAAGTTTTCATGTGTCTGCTTGTGAGGTCCTGGCCACCAGGCAAAAGGCAGAATCAGAGGAAAAGATGGATCTCACATTCTTAATCTTAGTATATCTATCCACCGTTTTGCTCACAAGGTTTTTTGCATCAAGACTAAGAGTGTGTGACATTTTGTCTGTAAGAAATACAGTATAAACTACCAAGAACATTATTTTCCCCTACTGTATAACAAGCTAGTGTTCTGCCACACCAGATGTGTTCTTCTGCTTTAGCACATTCCTTGTTTGTACTGTAGCACAGAGATGTGTCTGCTCCAACATGTGAGTGTACATGCACAAGAACATGTGTTTTTACCTGTACTCGCATGTGTACAGCATGTTCATCCACCAACCTCTGCTAACGTGTGTGTGTGTGTGTGTGTGTGTGTGTGCGCCCGTGCAGAGTAAAGTCATGGGGTGTGGGCATTGTAAGGACCTGTTCAACACCCTGGGGTCCCTCCAGGTGTCATCCCCCGGCAGGGACAAGACATGCACCGAGCCGCTGGACGAGGAGAAGGACGGACTGAAGGAGCAGCTGAGGCATCTGGAGCTGGAGCTGGCACAGACCAAACTGCAACTGGTGGAGGCTAAGTGCCGCATCCAGGTCAGCAGCACCAGGGAGAGACAGTGATATCAATAAGATTAATGCTGCAGGGATGCAGGGCAGTATACCAAGTCTGTAGGAGTCTTTAGGAAATAGATCTTTTAACCAGTTTTACTTTTTATTGTATCTAATAGTCTCACGAAGGAAAAAATCTAGATCATTTTATTTGTTTGTTTGAGTTTATTGCTCATTCAGTAACAGTAACAAGTTAAAAACAAAGGACACCAAGCAAGATTTAGAGTCCACATCCATCCTAGCTGCTCTGTAAGGCTTTATTTAGGTACAGCAGCGCTTAGCTAAATGCTAATGTCAGCATGCTAGCATACTCACTATGACAATGCTAATATGCAGATGTATAGCAGCTATGTTTACCATATGTGTACCATCTTAGTTCAGTGTGTTAACTTGCTTACATTTGCTAATTAGTACAAAACACATTGTACAGCTGAGGCTGATGGCAATCTTTAGTTTTTGCAGAAAAAGTACTGGACACATTTAAATGCTAACCTAATGATGGCACTAGATTTGTGCCATTAAGTTAAGGGATCAACACAGTAATTTTAGGTAATCCATAAAGGTACATTGATACCTGTACCTAATTCCATGGCAATCCAGCCAGTAGTTGTCAAGGCATTTTACAAAAAAACAAAAATATCAACTTCGTAATCCTAAAAACACAACATCATAAATATACAGTACATACAAATACAGAGCCACATGACAAAGGGCAGTGTGTTACAAGAGAGAATGCATTGACATATGACCCAAAGTGCATTTTCTCAGTGCTCCCCTTGCTGAATCTTCTCTGCTCCTCTTGTCACTCTGCAGGAACTTGAGCACCAGCGGGGAGTCCTGATGAACGAGATACAGGCGGCCAAGAACTCTTGGCTCAGCAAGACTCTGGGCTCCCTGAAGAGCTCTGCCTCCCCTTCCACAAGCTCCACATCTCAGACCCCGTCCTCTCCAAAGGAGGGCCCTGCCTAGACTGACCCTCTCTGTCCCCTGCAGGATGCACACTAGAGCTGAAGAACACACGTTGAAGAAACAAGCAGCAGAGAAGTGCAGTATTCCTTTTTTCAGCTGGTGGCAAAGCAGAGCTCACTAGCTTTTTGGACTGCAAATAGCTGGAAAGATGAGGGAAGAAACAGACGGGGGACTGGACCAGCCACCTGTCTTTCACTTATTTTTTCATCTGAGTGAACTAAAACATGACTGTTGATTTTCTCTGCTTCACAGGTGACGGTGAAGCATCAGCAAGGCTTAAAGTTAAGTGGTCGTCGCTGATACTGTTTTGCTGAGTTATATCTCGTAAAGCTCATTATAAGAAAGCTGAATTCACTCACTCAATGGCATCCCTCATGTGGGTCAATAATGTAGCTCCACCCTGTGGCCAGAAATTGCTACCACAGAGTCATAGTCATTTTATCTGTGTGAGATTATGTTTTTAGGTAGCTGAGAATTAAACCTGCTCCCACTGTCCTCACAGTGGACAGTATGATCAGTGATAGTGACACCGCTACAGCTGCAGAGATATTACAAGATTTACTGCATAGAAATATAGTGATCTACATTAACCATCTTCAGCGCAGCAAAGCCACAGCACGCTGAAAAAGGAATACTGCATTCAGAGTCTTAAGCAAGAACAACACAAATTGTTGTATTTCTTTATAGTAATATAACGTAAACAATGTTGTCATATAAATATGTATAACAAATTATTGATTTTTTAATAATCTTGTACAGTTCTTTAAGAGAAGGAAAAAAACAAGGAAAAGTTTTTGTTAATTTTAATTTTTTTTTTTTACTGTTTGCAATTTGAATGTCATCTCTCTAGATGTTGACTTAAGCACAGCGTGTAATCAAACCGGTCGAGTCCAAACGCTGAAGATCCAAAGTGACAACCTGTAGAGATTTTTATGTAGTTAAAGCCCCTTCTCTTTCTTCAGTCGTGGGTTGAAAAAGCTTAATTTGTGTAATATGACCCTAAATATATATGACCAAATTTTTTTTTTTACCCCAGTTCCAGCTCATGCCTGTAAATATTTAATTGCCATTTTTATTTTCTGTGTTGCTGCATGCATATTTCTAATATGCAGCCATAATTCTGTGCACAGTTTAGTTCGCTGTGATCACAACAGACCCTTTCTGTGTCTGTTTCGTCCTTTTTATACTTTTAATGATACAGTTGGAATTAGCTTAACAGAACGCCACATAATCCCAATTAGCTTTACAGAACCAACTATCTCTGGTATCTGCAAACGGTAATTATAGCTGGAAATATCAGGGATTGTGTTTCTTTTTCAATCCATTTTCTGGCCTTTGTTCTTTTACAGACTGAAAAGAGCCAGATAATCCATCACAGAAGTTGTGGAGAAACTGAGTGTATCTGTCTGTGTTGTAACTATGCAACACTATGTAGACAATACCCGCAGGATATTGGTATAAATCTTCACCCCTTAATACCTTATAACTGTCATCAAAATTCACTGTAGATACCAGAGTCAGCACATTAAATTAGGCAATTTTCTAATGTAGTGGAGGCTCCAAAGTATATATTACATAGCACAATTCATCCCTAAAATGAAAACCTAGCATAACATTAATAAACAAGATTAAGTTCCAATATTTCCCATCATTGCCAAACAGTCCTGAGGCCATTTGCACTCCTAGGCCAACAACTTCTTTACCCTTTTTCTTGCTCAAACAATATACTTTTTAATTAATTCTTTACACAATGAGAACAGCACATGGATACCTCTTCCCTGCATCCATAGTGGACTATTGGTTGTGTTGCTCAGTGCTAACACGTTTGTATAAAAACTGTATTGAATGATAAACCAATCAACCAGTAGTACTGAATGTTGAAAGTGAGAACTTAAATCAGGTTTGAAGTTGAATATTAAGTAAATCCACATATGTATAGTTTTATAGGATTACATTATGTTTAGCGAGGGAAGTTGCCTCATGTAAAATAGCTAAAAAGATCAAACAAAATACACAAGCTATTTTGATTTTAAAAGAAAAGGAAAAAAAAAACTTGCACTACTATTTTATTCTTATTACATTAGTAGTTGCTTATATCTACAGTAAGTGTGAGGACCACAGCCAGCCACCCAAATATGATTTTGCTGTCTGTGTACTAAGTTGACAAACACAATTAGCTAAAATGTCTGTGAAGGTTCTTAGTCATCCAGGTCATAGTTATCCAACGAAGGTTGAGGTCAAGGGCAACTGGACTTGAAGGTTGAAGATACTAGAAGATGTTTCGTCCCTCATCCAAGAGACTTCTTCAGTTTCTTCAGTATCTTCAACCAAGTCCAGTTGCCCTTGACCTCAACCTTCGTTGGGCAATTAGCCAAAAGGTCTTTTATTTTGCTTTAACATAAGTGCAGGGAGAGAGCTGCAGTGTACGTGCCAAATGTTCAGCTTTATTCTCCACTCTGGTTGTCACTGAAATCAGCCTTTGGACTCTGACCAAGCCCATGTGTACTCGTTTGTGTGCAAGTGTGTGTTTTTGGATGTGTGTATGTACACGTGTTCTGCACTGTAACTCAAGTGGTTGAAGATGAAATGATTTCTTCTCCACGTGGCTGCCTTTTTCTGTTGATGACTGAAGCCGTTGGCTGACGAGAGGAAAATCATCTGACTGTTTGAAATGTCGGAGAGTGTCAGCTGTGCCATAAGAGCCTCCCTTCTGCTCCGTCCCTAGTGTTCTTCCTCCGTGCTCCCGACCTGAACCAACCTCACCAATGTCATCTGATCATATAAACAGAACTGCTGAATATCCTTTTTGTTTCACGGATTTCCACCAGGAGCCTCCCAGTACGAACACCGTCCTCTCGCTGGTGGCCACTGTGCAGCGCCATTGAAGAAAAGGAAGCTGACTGGCTGAATAACATTGAGTTCCAGGTGTGTTTTCCATTTCCAGGACATTCCGTCTTCACTATCGTCCATCATCCTTGTTGGCCATGTGCGACAGTTACAAAGTTGTACAACCAGTTTATTGTAAACGTTGGAGAGAGCTCCCTGTTTTTTTATGTGCACTAAAACAGCATTGATATTTTAAACACTATTTCAAGAAATGTGTTTGTTTGTTTGTTTAAAAGTGATCCTGATCACAGAGCTTAATTATTTTTTAACAGATTATTGTCGCTCAGAGGACAGTTGCCAATGTATAAGCCACTCTAATTCACAGTTGATCTCACTGATGTGAAAGCAGGTGGTGAGTCAGATAAGAGGTGTGATGTGTTTTGTGTAGTTTACAGTTTGCTGTAATACCACAGCCCTTTTACACAGGGAGGGACTGCTCCTCAGCCGGTCCGACTCCAACACTGTTTGCTGTAACTGTCTGACCTGCATTAATAAATTTCCGTTTTTCTGTTCATTCATGCACTTTGAGCTTTTATTGGACAGCGGAATACTGACTGGAATTGTTCATTTTAGGAATAATAAAGGACATACATAGGAATTCAGATTTTCAATTCTTTTTAATGTTTAAATTTTACAAGGCATTTTGTCTGACCAGCAAGAGCTTTTAGTGACACTGACCCAACTAGTAGCACATACCCAATGGATATGACATGCAACATAACATTAAACATGATTTATTCTGCCAAAACAAACATCTGAGAAACTGGTAATTAGTTTTCCCCGTTGCTGCCCCGTGTATCATCAGCTTAAGACTCGGTACCAGTATGTATAATGTTTAGCAGCTACTACAAAATCTGGGTGGTATAAATGTGTAAATTTGTGGCAGTAAGAATAAGTTGCAGAAAGACAAAAATGTTTAGACAGATATATAAATAAAGGAATAAATACCCCTGCTAATGATAATAAATTACAGGAAAAACACTAAATATTTTGTAGCTAAGGAACACCGTCAACATATAGAGCAGCTCACTGAGTTTCTGAAGACAGAAACTGAAGGTGCTCAGCAGCCCGGTACACTCTAGAGGGAAAACATCTCCCAGCATTCATAGGAGTGCTCGGAGATTCCCAAGGAGCATTCACGTCAGTTTCGCATTTGAGATGTTGAGTTCAAGATATCTGGAATCTGTGATAGCTACATTGTCTTCCACGCAAAAAGGTCTACAGAAATGTCAACAAACCTGCTGAACAATGGGTGATTTTGAGTAACATTTCATTTCAATGGGACAAGATATAAGCATTTGCTGCGCCACTATTAGCATACTATTCTTTGGTTTGAATACTGCTGGATCGGTCACTAAGTTCATCAAAGTAATTATCAGCGAAGCGAAGCATCTGAATGATGGAGCTGAGCAGTAGGATGTCGCAGTTGAGGTCCAACTCCAACTCTTGGCTGTAGTTCTTCACTGGAACAACGCAGGACAAAGGCACACCGAGCTGAGCACTGACCTCTTGCATCTGGATCACAAAAGCAGAATAAAGTTCTTTTGACAGAGAACTGCAATCTGTAGTACTGAATTAACAAAACACTGTTTGCTTAAGAACACAGGAGAACATGAAGCAAGTAAAATATAAAAATAAAAGACAAAGCATGAGGAGGAAAACAATTTCATGTTACTGTATGGTTTTTATACTTCCATGAAGGCCAAAATTCAAACAAACGAGCCTATTTAAATGTTCTTTTTCAGAAAAAAAATCCTACAGGCGAATTAAAAGTTGATCTCACCAGTTCCTTGATGTAGCCACTCTTGTAAACATTCTTAATATCCTGTGAAACAAAGGGACAGGCTTCATCTACTTTAGTCATCAGGACCAGCTGAGGAATCCCTGCAAACCAACAAAACAAAACAGTTTTCAAAAACTGAAGACAACCTGTCTCTTTCTCTAAAGTCCTATGTATCTACTGTACTGTATTATGGTAAAGCCATATACATAAATTACTGTAACCTTAGATTTGGGAGGTATAGGAGTGTAAACTGTTACCGGGAGTCTTATATTTTATTTTAACTGACCCATTAAGTTGACCTTTCTACGGATGGCTGCCAGCTTCTCCTCCAGCTTTGTAGGCATAATGGAGACCTTGCAAGCATCAATGATGTAGGCCACACAGTGGATTTTGTCCTTGAGCGCTGGAGACTTACGATAGCCATGGGCCTCCGATTGCAGAGGAGCAGAGGGGTTGAACTGAATCATACAGGTGAAAGAAACCATATTGTCAACCATATCAGTGCAGTATGAAGTATTTTGTGTTTATTATCTAGCTGAATGCATCAAAAGCTCTACCTGATAACTGTCTGGCAGATGACCTTTGAGGATGCTGACGATATCATCTATGTCAAGTCCCGCCCCCGTGCTTTCCTCCAATCCCATGGTATCACATAAGATGATTGGCAGAGGTTTCCCTCCTCGTCCAGCTTTCACTGAGTAGGTGCGAAACTGTACGGTAATAATGGAGATTATCATTATTTATCATATCATTAAAAACAAATTGGAGATGGTGAAAGTGATTCATCACATCTTGGTGTTATGTTAGCTGTCTTTATTAACACAATCCAAAAGTGCATTTTTCACTGGAATGGGAGGTGCTGAGGTAGAACATTTTATTAGATCTCCTCAATATTCAATTCATCTGTTTCCAAGTTATCAGAGCATAAATGGCCATAGTAATAATGTTTCATTGTTTATTTTTGGCTTAATGGGTGTAAAAGATATATGAATTGTACTGATTACTGCAGCCCTCCAGGAACTAACCTGTGTGGTGAGGCTGGTGGTAGAGCAACCAGCGATGGCCTGGCTGGTGACATGGCCTCTGAATACAGAGTTGATAGAATTGAAGAAGCTTGACTTTCCAGCTCCAACTGGTCCAATTAGCAAGACCCGAACCTGGGACACAGAGCTGGCCAAGGGACAGTAGAGCTTAATACTGTCCATCATCTTGGTCCTCTTCCTGAAGAGACAAGAGCAGTTTATTAAACTGAAATAGTAAAAAGGTGGCTAATGTGTACATGACTAGTACTGTGCTTTAAATATGTGGTGCCTAACCATAAATCTGACCTAACATAATTACAATTCAATTTAAATGGGTGGATCCACACCCATGCCGCAGCAAGCTTGTTCAACTAGCACATGCTCAATATCAAGTATGACAAGCATACATTATGTTGTGTGTTTTAACACATTCATTACATCCTCATCTATTACCATGTAGGGCGATTTGTTATGTCAAGTTATGTCAGTATGACATGGTGTGGTATAATGCAACATATTAAAAAATAATATGTAATAGCATTTTATGATTCAAACTGGGGCCCCATCCAGCTTACTCATTTTCCCAGACCACTGGCCTCCATGGCTTCTCAAATTCTGGGCTTTCTGTTGAAGAGCAAAAACAGCTTTTACAAAACAATATTATACAATTTTATTAAAATATAATCCAGCCACTCATTTTAATGTATTACATCGTAAACATTAACAAAATAAACAATCATTTCTGAGTTATGACACATGAATTACAGTGATCTCATAAATAAATCTAAAAATAAACATCCCTCAGACAAGCCATTTCTGAATTTGGTCGCATAGTTACGAATAATGGCTTTTAAAGTAGATAAATTCTGAGTTTGTTTGGTTTTCAGAAAGTATTCATTTGATGGATGTAGTTAAATGAAACAACTCCCATATTATATTCCTTACTGTTCCCTGCCTACAAAAAATTCACACTAAACTGAGACTTCAGACATTTGTGGTTCATTATTTTGTACTACTGGTTCTGCTTTATCAGTCAGTGGTAAAAAGACAAACCTGCTACATGACTAGAGCTAGCTTGTTTAGACCCAATTGACCATGTTTATTTGTGTACAGTATAACAAACCAGATTTAAACACCAATAATAAAAATTGGAAAAGGTCAATGTTCTTGTCAATAGGTTCAGGGCTGAATCTAACTATCAGTTGCAGGACTGTGACAGGAATAATAATGCTAAAGTTCTTGGTGTCAGATGCAATCTATTTAAAACATGCTGAGCGTCAATATTTGTCTGTTAAGAGAGAACTTACCCTCCACCTGATAGACTTCACAGTCCGTCAGGTTGAGGTTGTTGCCGTGCATTTCTGCAGCATTGAAGTTATAATAATTTCCTGGACTGCTGTACACTACTGCTTGGCTTCCATTGACAAGAGCCAATGCTTCTCCAAAATATGGACCAGAGTTGCCTATCATTCTCACTGCATAGGTGGGATTGGTGACGGGATATTTGAGGAGCTTTTCTCCACTGAAGGTGAAAAGAAAGGCCTTGTCATCACCCACGTACTGTCCAGACTGATTAAAAGGTTGTTTGGTGTAGCCTCCAAACACAAAACCGGAGGCGTTATAGCCCACAGACACTGTGGGACAGCGGGTGTCACATTGTTGGTGGAAGGCTGCGCCGGTGAAACCATGGATGCTGGCCTTGTACAGTAGCTGTAGTTTGACACTTCCCAACTGGGAGCAAATTGTTTTCTGCTGGCTCTTGGTTAGTCTGGGGTTCATGATAGGTTGGTGTTCCCGTAGTGTGGTGTCTGAAAATGAAACATAAACAGTTGCATTAAAGATATATATTGTTTTGGGTAAATTATTTCTAATTACAGTGAAACTGAACTGTCATCATTTAACTTAACAGTAGAATACTTCTTTAAAAACTTTTAAGCTTGACATCAAGGGCATCACTTTGTGTTGAAAAGTGGTGGGGACATTTAAGGGCTGATATTAAGGATGTGATGAAACACTTAGTTCATGAGACCTGATAATGCACAATATTAGAGTCAGAGAACAAGACAACAAGATACTCCAATACTATTTATAAGAACCAGTCAACTGGGGGGTCTCAGGGGTCCTCCCCCGGAAGATTTTGAGCATTAAACTCTTAATTTCCTGCATTCAAGAGACATTTACTGCGCCAATTTATGGTCGAAATGCCGAAGTTCTTTTTTGGACAAGGCAGATCTATTTCTTCTATATTTACATTGCATTTTATTCATTCATTCATATTGTGCAAGTAAACCTTTCCCATAGAATTTGTATTTGTTATTTAACATTTCTTGTTGCAAGCTAATTTGCAGAAAACCTTTAGCAAATGCTTTCAAAAAGTGGTGGGGACAAAATCAGCCATTTCAAAAAGTGGTGGAGACATGTCCCCAGCGTCCCCAGAGTAAAGGACACCTATGCTTGACAGCCGTCAGTCATAGCTACATATCCAGCCATACAGCCTTTCAATTCAACATTAGGTGCGCAAATTGGCATGTAAGTTAAGTAACTAATATATAGGCTATCACAACTCTTCTAGATAGAAACTACTGGATTTTGGGAAAAGTACTCAAACTAATATCTTAGTTTTACATCCTTCTTTGAACAAGATCGTGAAAAGCAGCTGAATCACTTACCAGGGAGATGTAGATGCTTTGTGTGTAGGCACTAGCAT